ATAGAACGATATTTTAGTTATTTTAACTGTTTCTATTATGATATTTTGAAGATTTTTTATAATAAACTCTGATTATTTTTGATATTTTAACAATATTTACCGATTTATATAATATTATATTTATTATTTTGCATCAATTTAATATTTACTGTTTTAATATATCGTAGCTGATATTTATGTTTTTTATTCTGATTTTATATTAAATCTAATATTTATCTATAGATATTTATGATATAAGCTTATATTCCGATTTTTAACAAACAATAAAATATAACAATATTTTAGTTATCGCCTTTTTCTCGCCTTTTTTTTTCGCTTTACTCTTTTTCCTTCACCTTTTTCTTTTCCCTTGATCCTTTTTGTTTTTACCTGCACCTTTATCCTCACCTTCACCTTCACTTTCACCTTCACTTTCACCTTCACCTTCACCTTCTTCTCCTTCACCTTCACTTTTATTCTCACCTTCACTCTCACCTTCTATATCTTCAATATTATAAATTTGTGATTGCCTTTTTGTTTTGACAACTTCACCTATGGGTGTTTCTGGCCTTCTTGGGCTAGACACTGGTGTTGTTAATTCATTTAGTATTAGTTCTTCTATCACTAGGATTGTTGTGGGTGTTGTAGTTGCTAGAGTTGCTGCTTTGGGGGTTGCTGAGGTTACTGCTTTAGAGGTTGCTACTTTGGAAGTTGCTGAGGTTGCTGATTTGGGAGTTGCTGCTTTAGAAGTTGCTTGGATTGCTGCGGTGATAGTTTTGTGCCACTTTAATACATCTTGTGAACTTGGAAGTAGGGACTTCTTTTTTTACTAGTTTTCTTTCATTTGTATAGTTAACTCTATCATTGTTATCTATATCATCTTTATTCTTCTTTTTATTTGTTCCTTCACCTTCTTTTCTTGTTTTTGCTTTTTTCTTTTTCTTAGGTCTTCTTTCCCACTTAAAAAGTCAACATCAAATTCTAGTGCAGTGATATTATACTATTCTATTACTTCAGGTGATAGTACCTAACTAGAGCAATTTGAGGATGATATTCTTTCTTTATCTATGTGATCTTTATAGTGACATTTGATTATCTGTTTATTTTTAGATTGCAGTTATTTCACA